ATAACAAGTGGAGAAAGCCTATTGGAGCATTGCTTCAACATATATCTCGCCAGTATTATATAAAAATTTTAATAAAAAAGTTCGCATCAAATAGAAAATGGCCAACTACTGACTACTGGATTGCATTAGGTTAAGGATACACATCACAACGTCTTATAGAACTTATATGGTTATAATTGCTGCCCAAACAAAAACAAAAAAGAGCGAAAAGAGCGAATTATTTATAATGATTTACCATACCTTTATCTTAGTTATCTTTATCGCCTATGTCAGTCTTGCAGCGGCCTCACGGATTGAGAACCGCATCCTAGCAGCACGCATTCGCGTTATCTGAAATGAATCAACAAATTAATGAAACATTATATTATAAACAATTTTAGTTTAGTTAAAAATTCCAAGAATTCTTTATCGCTGTAATGAAATACTCGCTTAATGGTAAGCAATTTGCAATCAAATCTTAGATAAAAATTAATGTTCAGCTGAATTTCTAGAGCACATCCATATAGATTCACAATGAGAGTAATTTAGAGCGACATATTCCTTGGCTTTTTATTACATTCATATAAGAAATAATTGAAATGAAATAATTCGATTTAAAGCTGTTGAGGATTCTATAATCAAATTAAAGTGTTTATGTGGAGTCTTTGCTTCTGACATTGTTCTAACTAAAACTAATAAACTAATCGTAATATCGCTTTTATTCAAGTTATGAAATGTTTATGTGAATGTACATATGGGGTATGAATATTCATTGAAATGCTTGGTTTTGTTTATGTATTATTCTTAAGAAAACTTGAATATTAATTTATCAAAATGAAAAAAAAGCTCTAGTATATAAGATATGCAATAAATAATTTAAATAAAATTATTCATTGATCAGTAATCTTCATTATATAAGTATTGAATCAGCTCATATTATACTGCAACATAATTTTTAATTAGTATGAATATTTAGATTATTTTTACTTTGTAATGAGCAACATTTTATATCAATGCCAATTATGTGATCTCATTTGAAGCGTTAATAAATATCTCTTATTTATTTTTGTATGCGCAAGGCCAGAATTTACAAAATTATAAAAAATCTTTATGATTTTTTTTATTATGACAAGGTTGGGTTTGTATAAACTTGCACTATATATAATAATGAATGATCTATTTCCCATTTCCATTTATACTTTTATTTTTAATTGTACAGTATAGTACATCATCAACTGAAAATAAAGTCTATAGTTTCAAGTCGAAATGGATAACATCAATACTCAAAGTTACAGGAGCGCGATAATAATAATCGAACCGACTTTTTATTTAGTCAAAAAAAAATTACTTATATAATTTTCCCATAAATCTCATATTTTAAGTTCTTCTATCTTATATATAAAAATGAAGCTTAGTATTATGTTAGGTATAGTAAAACTCTAAAATAGCTGTACGGATTTGGTCAGTCTTAGTCTTGAAATATTTGTGCTAATTCATAGGTTTTGGGAAAAGTGAGATAATATTTCAAAACCGCTTAGAAACTTTACATTTTTAATTAGAAATTTTTGTAGAAGCGTAATTTAAATAAAACAATGAACGACGGCTCATACGTCAAATGTCAAATGTTTTAGATGATGTTCAATTACATTTAATAGGTTGCTTTAGATGAATATTATTCAACTGTAGTTAGTAGTTTTGTTTGTAGATTTATTTATGCACAAAAACATTATTCAAAATATCAACTTTTTTAAATGTAAATATAAAAATACACTTTTTTTGGATTTGTGGCACTCTTTTTTGCAAATCATATTTACTTCAAAGCCTGTACTAAAAAAGAACTCATTGAAAATTGCAATAAATATATAAACCATTACAAAATAATTAAACTTTGCAATGACTATATAAGTCGCAAGACCAAAAAATCTTAGATTCGATTATATTTTTCATACAAAGTGGGTAAAAGTTTCAGATTGATTATATTAGCAAAATATGGTCAAAAAAATATTCTTAATATAAACCTTATTATATTAAAAACAGTTTGGGTTCTATTGTTTCTACATAACCTTACTACCTATACCACTAATATAATACATTTTATACACTATCATTTTTAAACATAGTAAATTAGTATTTTTCTTGGATTTTGTAGAAATTGTTTGCACATACCTTATATATGGTAAAACAACGTTTTCCGGGTCAGCTAGTATAATATAAAATATTATGCATTCTATTATTAAGTGATATTATTTTAATTCTATAGTTTTTTTCTGATAAAAAAATTATGATACGAGTACATTCGCAAAGCAATAAAATAATGCATTTATTCTCTTTACAGGTTTATGGCAACTTATTTAGTGATTTAAAATTGAAGGATAAATAACAACAAAAATAAAAACTTCAATATTTGTTTTGATGAGATATGCAATATAAAAACTATACCACTAAAAGAACATTCTGAAAGACGAAATTATTAGTTTACCATAACTTCAAAGTGCACCCAAATATATGTCAGTTATTTAGTGTAATTTTTTTTATTCATATTTTACCAACAATTAAAACAACGATACGAGTACATTCGCAAAACAATAAAATAATGCATTCAATCTCTTTACATGTTTATGGAAACTTATTCAGTGATTTTAAAGTGAATGATAAATAATATCAAAAATATAAACTTCAATATTTGTTTTGATGAGATATGCAATATAAAAACTATACCACTAAAAGAACATTCTGAAAAGAAGAAATTATTAGTTTACCATAACTTCAAAGTGCACCCAAATATATGTCAGTTATTTAGTGTAATTTTTTTTATTCATATTTTTACCGACAATTAAAACAACTGATCTTCTCCTTCTAACATCTAATTCTATTCTATTTCAAATCAACAATTCAAGTTCTGATTAAAATCCAACAGATCAAATGACAATTCTATGTCAGCACAAGGACTCGAACCGAGTATCCCTGGCGTATGAGTCAGGCATGCTACTAACTGAGCTATTACCACCACAATGAACAACGGTCAACCTATCTTTATTTCATATTAAAATTTCTCTAATATTAGCTCATATATTTTTAATTTTACGCAGCATTGTGCGAAAATGATCTCTTACAATTAGTGTAAAATCTGAACCAGAAAAATCAACTACAAAAAAAAATCTGTAAAACTTCTCAGATTTTAAAACCATAGTTTTCGAAACTCCCAATTTGAAAATGCTATCCCCATTTTCTTATGATTTATTCTTGTGATGAAGCAAGGACGAAAAAGTTATTTGTAATAACATGAACATTTTATTTATACGTATAATTTTCATAATAGTTGCAAACAAAAAAGTTGGTCATACGCTCTAATTAAGCACTTGAATCATTTATCTTATAGCTTAAAGGTTAAAAGGTTAAACATAATATATTTTCGTCGCAAATATTTTTATAGATAATATTTACATCGATAATTACTTAAGTAAATATATCTTGTTGCCATAAAATCTCTGGAAATGCTCCTGTATTTGCATTTACCGTAAAAATTCCAACCTTGAAAGAGTATCGAGAACATTTTAAGTTAATTGCTTGGTTTATTTGTAGAGTAAACGCATTGCCTTTTAAAAGTTAATTTGAATGTATGCACATGCATTAAACCGCTTCAAACATAAATCCTATGGTTAGAAACGAATTTAAACTTCACTTAAAATAATTAAACAGTATATTATTGTGAGAAACGGCAAATGATTTAATAAAATTTAAATTAACAATAATAAATTTTGTGCAGAAATAAATATAATCATTTAAAAGAACGTTAATAAATGATTTTTTCTCTTTAACAATATGGAGTTGTAGAAGTTTTACCAATTTTTGTAGTAAGTGATACGTTAGTAGTAAAATGCAATGCAATGTAAAAAAATCCTGAATATTATACATTGCTTCTTATTTAGGATTTTTTTCACACATATAAATCAAATAAAAATCTATAAAATATTTTTTGAAAAATGTCCAAATTATTCTGTGAAAAGTATTCAAATCGTCTGATACTAGTACAAAAACTTTTAAATAAAATCATGTTTCAACCAAGTGTATTATTTTTAAATTCTTACAATCAGACCATCACATATAAGTTTTAGCTATAGAAAAATTACTTCAAAACTGTCGTCATTTTTATCAGGGATTTTTTTACAAAATTTGGATGAATACGTGTCTTAAGTTGTATTGCTTCGGCCTTGCAAAAAGATTTATAGGGCGATTCTACTGCACAACTGACCAATGTGACGGCCGGTCCATGTTAAGCTCCAACTTCCATACATTATGATACTGAATATCCATAAATCATACTGAATACTATCAAAAAGTCATGTATTTGCTGTGCATTCAAGCGTTTTGCTCATAAACTGCAACGTCACTCGTATGTTATGAAGCTGAGTCAGAAATACCCTGTTATCTAAGATCTTTTTTTTAACATTTGTGCGGTTTCTAGGTTATGTTTTCTATCTGACAATCTGAGGAAAACGCCTGATTGCACAGAAACCACATGGCTTTTGTCAATATTTAGAACGAATTAGTAGGGAAAGTCCTTCATAACATTGCCTTGCCATAACATTGGTCTGTTATGCGGCAGAATCGGTCCATTAGAGTTAAAATCACTAGTGATATTAAACAGTAGCAATGATCATTTTTACTTAAGAATATAGATCATGATTTTATTTTCAAGTAAAAATATTCAATTACGGGCATTGCTACAAAAAGCTAAAATATCAGCAGAATTGAAAAGTGGCAACCATTAGGTTGTTTTCTAATAAAAACAATAACAAATATATCAATAATAGCACAAGTCAATAATGACTTGCCTTCTAGTAGACATTAATAAAAAAAATCATCATAACGGATTGTAGAATTCCAAATTATGGTTTCTATTAAAATAATAATATTAATAACGTTATTTGTTTGTAGATATATATTTTGAAACGTATTATCAAATTTATCAATTACATTATAATTTTATTGTAAAAAAAATAAGACTGAAGTATGATTTTGTAAATAATAAACGCAACAATAGATAAATGGATAGAAATTGGTATCGTCATAATTAATCATTGTAACTTAATTAAATTATCTGCAAAAAAAAAATATTACTAATCAAATACAACAAACTATATTATTAATCAAATTTTTAGAAAATTAATATTAATGAGTTTGCAGCTTTATATTTTCAGTATTGCTTGTTTTATTCTCATTAGAGCAAATAGAAAATATATCATGCATTTACAAGTTTTTTTGCTCATCAAATGATGCACTTTGATATCGTATTTAATTTTACATCCTGTTAAGCAAATTATTCAGAGAAAAAGCTTTAAGCATGTTAC